AGCCCCGGGCCCCGGAACTGCGCTCAGCCGCCGCCCGCCCGGCCTGGCCCGCGATCCCAGCGCCCGCACACTAAACACTTTTAATGAATTATATATACAGCAATTGAAAGCTATTCGATAAATTCTTGCAATTACGGCCAGAGACTCTAAGCGCCGCTATTCACTTGGCGGAGAAAGAAATGCTTTTCTATTCGGTCAGACCCTCCTACCTGCCCCATTTCTTACTGGGCAAAACAAAATGGGAAATGCTCCCAGTTGAACGACCCTGGAGTCAAAAGGTCAATCTACAGAAACAGAGGTATAAAACAGGGAAGACAAACAGACTACTTGGGGGTTTTTACATGACAATGGTGGCTGCTTTTGATCAGAAAACCCTTAATCGTCTCTGGGACAGGAATGGCGGCTCTGCCAAGGCGCCTCTCTGCACCCTGCTCTTCACTCGCCTGGAGACGCGGGGGAGGCCTGAGGCCGGCAGATCCACTACTACGTGCCTGCGGAGCTGGAGAAAGGCTATTACGTGGCGAATCGCCAAGGATCTGGGGCTGGAGCCCTCGGAGCTGGTGGGACGCAGAGTCCTCATCATTTCTAGAAGTAGGACACGGCATTTTACAATAGACTTGGAAAACAGATATTTATATATTGCTAAGAAACTTGATAGAAAAAGCTGTGTGGCTCCCTCTTTCTAGGTATTCTAAGTTTCGAGGGTCTTATTGAGGACACATAGAGCTTTATGCAGTAGCAGCAGCAGGTTGGGAAATAATTGATAACGCCTAGCTTTCAAGGCAAGATGCAGTTTTGGACCTTAGTGAGGGTACTGCTGTCAGGACACTTTTTCCTTCCAGATGCTCATAATCCCAGCGTTGGAACGAATTCTCTTAAGGCGTACATTCTAAGGCCTAGTTGGTATTTTACTTTGGGGGTAAAAACAAAATGGAGGAAGGGCCAGAAAGTACGCTGAAATGATTCTCTCCTTCATTTAGAAAGCTTTCCTTGTCTATCTTTGGCTGTCAATTAATATTTAAAAGTGAGGCACTGAACAGCAGATTGTGAATGGATAGAGTTGTCAACAGGTAGACTTCATTGTAGTAGACAGTGACCTGGCCTTTTCTTGGGAGAATGCCCAAATGTCAGTTTTTGGATTTCTTTTCTCTGGAACCACATGGTTTCTTCAAATAATCTTCCAATCTTGACTGTGTGTACGATGTCTGTGGAGGACATGTAGGCCTTGGATACTGAGATGAGGGGAGAGGGTGAAATTCCTGCAGTAAAGGATACAGACTTTCGCATAATTCCCTTGTTTGATGCAGTACATCCCAGCCTTCATCTGTGCCTTTCTCGGAGTTTGAGACTTCTTTGGTTCAGTTTACCCAGAAAATAAACTTTCTATCTGTGGGACGAGGAAGGAAGAGTCATCTGGCTTCCCAGGGTGCGATAGGGATCCTGAACATCCAATAGCTCTGAACACAGACTTTAATGAATCCCATGTTTCCAGCCCCACACTGTCCTCCCTTCCTTGGAACTTTCTTTCTGCAAAAATTGAGCCTCTTGGAGCCAGCCCGGTGGCGCATGCAGTTAAGTGCATGCTCCGCTGCAGCTACCTGGGGTTCACCACTTCCGATCCCCCAGCGGGCACTGATGCACTGCTTGGCAGGCCTTGCTGTGGCAGCGTCCCATGTAAAGTGGAGGAAGATGGGCACGGATGTTATCCCAGGGCCAGTCTTCCTCAGCAAAAAAAAAAAAAAAAAAAGAGGAGGATTGGCAGATGTTAACACAGGGCTGATCTTCCTCACAAAAAAAACTGAAAAAAAAAATTGAGCCTCTCACAGGTTCTTTATCAAGCAGGTTTGTCTCTCTTTACTATACTCCCTTGCAGACAGTTAGCATGTAATTTTCTCTGATCTGTGAATTAATTTATCATTTCTTCATCTGGTTGGCCTTCTGAAAACAGGTGACATCTCTCATTCACTGTAGTCTCATCTCCTATTCTCTTTGTCCTTGGTAGTTACTGTTATTTGGGCAGGATTTTTGATAGAGAAAAGAGATACGTGAGATATGTGAGAACAATCTGCCATTTTAAACTAGAAGAAGATTTTTAAATCCTTCATATCATATTTGAGGGATTTGTCTTTTTATGTTTCGATATCACTCTCAGGAAAGTCAGAGAAAAAAAGCATATTTTAATACTTATTGCAGATAACTTATCAAGTTATCTAGACTGCATTCAACATTTTAATGACCACTGATTGTCAATTAATTACATATGGTTCATTGTTTATTTTTTAAAAACACATACTCAGTTTTTACAAACACACCGAGAAGCAGGATAGTGTAATATATTATCAACTGCTTTTGCATTAAGTTCCTATATATGTCTTGGAGAAACCAAATTAGTAATCATCGCAGGAATTAGACTTGAAGCATTAAGTTTTCCTATCAGAACAATTCAAATATTTGTACTGTGTAATAGTAACTACACTTGTATTAGCCATTTTAAAGAGTGATAGAGATAATCTTACTTTTGGTTGTATATGCATTTAAACCATGAAAAACATGCATAAAACTTAGTTATTGAGTGATGGCTATGTTCATGGCATTGTGTTAGCACTATGTTGCTGCACTAGTACTAAACTGTAGCAGAAATTATTTAAACGATAATATATTACGTAGACTTTACAAAGACATCTAATACAAATTAGAAAGCCACCTTTGCAGCCTCCTAAAGAATAAAAGTCTACAAATAAACATTGAAAGCCAAATGAAATGGACAATTATACATTCATCCTAGTAAATCAGAAATGGTTTTGGCCATTAGGTGCACTCCTTAAGGGAGCCCATTATCATAGCTGTAATAAATATAAGAAAGTGCAAGACATTCCAAGACCAGTGACATAGCATATACTGTTAGCATTACCATCTCACTATGGAGAGCTAAAACATATAACTGAAGTTAGTTACTGTAAATGTGTTAGTTACCTCAGGGGCATTTAAAAAATATTTTACATCTTTTATCTTCCTTGTAAATAAATAAGTACTACATTGCTGTTTTATCTACTTTGGCTGTATGAACAGCCATATTAAGCTATCCTCTAGCGTGGATTTCTTTGGGCTACAGTTCCTGATGCACATACACTGTTGAGTCTTTAAGCACTGTTTTCTTCACTTTGTCCCTCTGATCAAGAACACATAGCACCCCCATGTTCACTGCAGCATTATATACAATATTCAAGATATGAAAACAACCTAAGTGTCCACTGATGGATAAATGGATAAAGAAAATGTGGTGTGTGTATGTGTGTGTGTGTATATATATATATACACACACATACACATACAATGGAATATTATTCAGCCATAAAAAAAGAAGGAAATCTTGTCATTTGCGGACAACATGGATGGACCTTGAGGCCATATGCCAAGTGAAATAAGTCAGACAGAGAAAGACAAATACTAGATGAACTCACTTATATGTGGAACCTAAAAAAAAAAAACAAACCCTGAACTCATGGATACAGAGAACAGATTGGTGGTGGCCAGAGTAAGGGGGTGGGCGAAACGGATGAAGGTGGTCAAAAGGTACAAACTTCCATTTATAAAATAAATAAGTCCTGTGGATGTAATGTACAGCATGATGACTATAGTTAATAATACTGTATTATATTGAAAGTTGCTAAGGAGTAGATCTTAAAAGTTCTCATCACAAGAAAAAAAAATTGTAACTATGTGTGGTGATGGATACTTACTGTGGTGATCATTTCGCAATATATACAAATATCGAATCATTATGTTGTATACTTGAAACTAATATAATGTTATATGCCAATTATATCTCAGTTTAAAAAAAGATACATACATGCTTCCAATTGATACCAAAGTCAAATGTCAGATCTTGAACTTAAGAGTTGAAGGCTCTCCATCTATCCACTCTTCCACTTTAACTCTGCTTATTTTTATCACAGTTTCTGTGGGTCCAGAATTCCAAAGTAGTTTCTCTCAATCCGAAGACCTGATTTCTAAGCCACATTTTAGATTTTTACAGCAGCACCCCACTTCTAGGTACCAAAAATCTGTATTGGTTATCTATTGCTGCATAAAAAAATTTCCCCAAAATGAAATGATGGAAAATAATAATAAACATTTATATCTCACACAGTTTCTGTGGGTCAGGAATTCAGGAGTGGCTTAGCTGGAGATTTCTGGCTTGGTGGTCTCTTGTGAGGTTGCAGTCAAGATATTAGTTGGGCTGGAGTGAGGCTGCCAGGGCTGGAGAATGATTCCAAGATGGCTCACTTACAAGACTGGCAAGTTCTGCTGGCTGTTGGCAGGAGGCCTCAGTTCATCACCACTTGGACTTCTCCATAGGGCTGCTGGAGTGTCCCCATGATATTGTGATTGATTTCCCCCAGAGTGAGTGATCCAAGATAGAGCAAGGCAGAAGTCAGATGCCTTTTATGACCTAGACTTGGAAGTCACACATTATTTCTGTAACATCTTATTGGTTACTCAGGAGATTCCTATTCAATGTAGGAGGGGACTACACAAGAACAGTGACACTAGGAGGCAAGAATCAATGGGAGCCATCTTGGAGGCTAGCTACCACAGTACCTGTGAGAATTAAACAGAAAAAAAGATGTAAGAGAAGACTGTGGAGAGAATGTGGGAGAGAAGAATTTCCACAGGAGTGTCAATCTCAGGCTTCAGGTGAATAGGAAGGGTAGGCATTGAGGACATGTAGGAAACTGAAGTAAATCCAGGAAATGTCCCAGTTGTATGGACAACCATGAAAAGATATTTTTTCTGGTTAGGAATATGGTTTCCTAGATGCATTAAAAAAA